CAGGCGGTAAATAGTGGAGCGCGTGAAGGAGAGATGCGAGGGCACGAACACTGTTCAAGGTCTTCATTAATTCCTGCTTGTAGTAATTTAATGTGTATATATTTTGAAAGCATAGAATCGCTATAGAAATCGCGATTCATTCGATTCTTAGCGTTTTAAATCGATTACTGTCCGAAATCGAAGATTCACGATTAAAAAATCCATGTTTCAAGATCGATGCATTGCATCGCATCGTCAGGGTTTATAATCGATGCATCGAGAAAACGAGTGAATCGTTACACCCCTAGTTGTTAGTGTTAACTAAAACCATACAAAAAAAAAATGTTTTCTGTAACTGAAATAAAATAAAATATATATAATAATAATAAAAAAAAAACCCTGCCGTTATTTCAGTTGTTTTCCAGGGCAAAATTTCTAATTTTACTTTAAGTTTAAGTTCTAAAACTACTAAAACTAAAACAGAAATATAAAGAACATTAAAGCTAGAAATATTGGAAAATACTGAAAAAACAACAACGAATAAAAATGTCAAAAGCATATAATATAATAAAATAACTAAAACTAAATTAAAATATAAACTGAAAATAGAAGATATTAGAAAATATCTTAGATAAATAGAAAAGATCACTAAATAATATAATAGTAATTAACACTAAAATAACACTAATTCTTAAACAGAATACAGAAAATGCACTGGCAATTTTTCTGCCAGGACATTATCCAGTAATCCAGTAACGGACATTTCCATCAACCCTAAAATATAATGCAATGATGTGCAAAATTCAAAATACAGGTAAAACACCTGTAAAAAAAAAATCAATATGATGACATTAATATGAAAATTCCTTCATATTAGTACAGTACTGTGCCCTATTTTACAGATTTCTTACAGTGTAGTTCAACAGTTCATACTGTAAAGACAGACTCAAACAACCGCCTGTGGTAGTTGAAGCACAAATTACAATCTGATGCGATTATAATTGAACTCATAACAGTTTGAATGTCCCTGTGCATGAGTGAATGTTCCCTGATGCTCTCGCGACTGATTCAACATCAACAACAGCAGCCATGCAGGCAACCACCAGATGAGCCCCTTTCTTCCATGTCTTGTAGATGCGGCTCTGCACATGTTCTTGTCAGTTTTTCAATTACACAGCCCACATGAGACACTGGCATGATCAGAGTGAATTAGATGGAGGCCTCTGCCACAGATGAATCACAATAATGCGGTTACTCTTGTGGTTTTGTGGACATGTGCTCACGCTCACGCAGGAGATGAAGTGACATTTGCCCTGAGGAAGCAATGGTCATCTCTCACCTCTTCATCAGAGTTTGCTCCCCTCTATTCTGCATTGAAACGCCATCGATTCTCTCCGAAGGCTAAATAAGGACAGAACTATCTGTCTTTTTTCGTGGAAACGCAAAAAAACGGTTTGGCTTGGGAAATGTCGATAAGTTAATGACATAGGGAGGTATTATCTGGGCTTTATTGGACAGATAGATCTTTGTGGCTCTCACTGGACAAAAAGGACAGTCTTATTAAGAATGGAGACAGATAATGAATGGTGCTGAGTGAATTATCACACCGAGAGCAGGGCGGATGGGAGGTACTTCATCCTTTAAAATCTGAATGGAAGGTGGAGAACTGTGTCAGGCTACAGATTTCAGAAAGAGGGAACTGGAGGAGGAAAGATATCATGCATCATTCAAGAGCTCCCTCACACACACACACACACACACACACACACACACACACACTAAGGTTCCGAATGGAATTGAAAAGGTCTTTTAAATAAAAATTCAAACCATGAATCTGAATTGCAATAGCAATTCAAAAATGCAGAAATTACAGTATAATTAAAATTTTAAACAGTGGAATTTAGAATGAAGTCTGTAGAAATCCATATAACTCTTAAGAATATATTTTTAATACATTTCATTTTTCAGTATGACAGTATGACTTTAAATACTAAACACATTATTATACACAATATATGGGGTACAAAATCATTAGTTGATATAAATAATTAATGTCAGCTATAAAAAGAAAGAATATTCATACAAATATATCATTGTATTTTGTATATTTAACTGTATCATTGCATTTTATGATTTAGTCACACACACACACACACACACACACACACACACACAGACACGCACTATATTATATATATATATGTGTGTGTGTGTGTGTGTGTATATATATATATATATAGTAAAATATATAATACATACAGGTGCATCTGAAA